TTTTTAAGATATAAGCTCATCCCGATGTTACACTCATCAAGACCTTTTATTTGAGTACCCACATCAATTTTTCATATATTTGATATATTTATATATATTATATATATGTATATATCAAAAATGCATGTGGGTATCCAAATGAAAACTCTTGATGAGTGTAACATCAAGATGAGCTTATATTTTAAAAATATATATTATATATATGTATACATGAAAAATATATCAAAAATGCATGTGGGTATTCAAATGAAAGCTCTTGATGAGTATACCATCAAAATGAGCTTATATCTTAAAAAATGTCAATATTTAAAAAAGTACAGTGCAATTTTACAAAATTCATTATTCAATAAAGCAAAATTTCATTTATTTATATTTCACAAGTCACGGCAGTCACATAGTGACTGCAAGTTTGTTAATATTAATTTTAAATTTACAAAAGTTTTGTTTAAATTTTGACAGTAAAAATTTTATTACAAAACTTATCAAATGATCAATTCCTTTAGTACAATTGTAGCAAAAAATTTTATTCATTTTTTCTATATATTTATATTTATACTTATATACTTATATCGGTTATCTGAATATAAATATACATTATTATAATTTTAATAAATATACAGTTTTAAAAAAATTTTTATTTTAAAAATAAATTGGTCTTTTATTTAAAAATAACTTTGTAGTATTTAATTGCACATATTGTTAAAAAAAAATAAATAAGAAGCAATTGTGCATTAATTTTTTGTAATTATGCAATTAAAGTCTATTTACAGATGTAAATTTCTATACAGCTGACTAAGAGTCTTTTTTAAAAATATATTTAAATGCGTCTCAATTAAAAATATATATATTTCATTTATTAAATAAATAATTGATCGTGTAATTTTAATGTGATATTTTCTAATAAATGTTTAGAGTTATAGAAATTTAATTATTAATAATAAATAAATAGTTTAATTAATGTGATTCATTCCACGTTCGCTTGGAGGGGGGTACCAAGTGTTCGGGGAGTGTAGTCGGTAGATCGTAATTGTCTAATTTAACGTTTATTAAATGCATTGCCAGAGCAAACTCTTCGGCGTCTAATTGACCATCTTTGTCGACGTCTGCGAGCTTCCAGATTTTTCCTAGTACGCTGTTTGGTAATTTTGATTTTACCATCTCGGCTTTAGCAACTAAAAAAAAAAATTTTTTTTTTTACTTAAATTATATTTACATATTTTTATTAACATAATTAAGATATCACCTTGTATTTTGTGAACTGTTGACATTTTTAAAGATATAAGCTCATCCCGATGTTACACACGTCAAGAGCTTTCATTTGAGTACCCACATCAATTTTTTATATATTTTATATATTTATATATATTATATATATGTATATATGAAAAATATATAAAAAATGACATGTGGGTACTTAAATAAAAGGTTTCGATGAATGTAACATTGAGATGAGTTTATATCTTAAAAAATGTCAATAATTGAGAAATTAAATTGTATATTATGAAATATTGACATTTTTAAAGATATAAGCTTATCCCGATGTTAGAGTCATCAAGACCTTTCATTTGAGTACCTACATCAATTTTTCATATATTTTATATATTATATATATATATATGAAAAATATATCAAAAATGCATGTGGGTACTCAAATGAAAGCTCTTGACGAGTGTAACATCGGGATGAGCTTATATCTTTAAAAATGTCAATATTTAAGAAAGTACAGTGCAATTTAAATTAAATTAAAATTTTAAAAAATATAATTATAACCTGATCCAGTTATTTTTCCATCAGTAGGTCCTAAGCTTTCAAAAAGCGAATCGTATTTATAACGCTCCTTATTAACAATCCATTCCGGCTCACCAGACCCAGCATCAACTCCTTCACCTCGTTTGTACCCAAAGGGACTTGTTTGATCCTCAACACCCTCAAATGCACCTCCTTTAATAAAATAAAATTTTACATTTTTCTAGCTACTATTTTAATTTTTTTTCATCACAGATATCACTTAGTATAATCTAAGATGATATTCACTTAGCGTTAAATAAAATAAAATAAATTAAAGTAACTAAAAATACAATTAATAATACCTTTAATCAAAGGTTCAATAGTAGTAGAAACATCTTCATGCGGAATCATCGCCATCAACTTAGCAATATCCTCAGCTAACATTTTATCAACAATCTCCAGCAATCTCGGCTTAAGCGGATTAAACTTAGTAAAATCATGATTAACCAGCGACTCTTGCATTTTTTTCAAATCAGGAAAATCTCCTGGAGAAATCTGGTGCTCTCTTTGAATCTGGTCATAAATATTCCCCAGATTTTTAATCAGTTCTTTCTTCTTATTATCCTTTCCAAAGACAGAAGGCATGTCTTTTTTCAGAGCACTGATAATGTAAGCATGCACCTTAGCGAGCCTAGCTCTCTTGATCAAGTCATTGAGCTTCCTAAGAGTCGCATTTTTTGGGAGAGACTGCATATCTTTAAACAAATCCTGCTCCTCTGCTTCAAAGAGCCGCCTATTGACGTCATACCTAAAACAGACAATTAAATATTTAATAAAGGCCTGCAAGAAAATTAACTTTTAAGGTAAAAGCCCTAATTATTGACAGGGGTCTAAATATTGACACCCTAAATTATTTTTAAATATATTTAATTATCTGTAATAAGAATAACTATCATATAAATTTTTATTAAATTCTAATTAATTAAAAAATTGAAAAAAATTACTGTCAGTTAATATTAAATATTAATTATTAAAAAATAAAGTTACCACCAGTAAAAACCTTACGAGCGTCTATTTTCTTAACAACTTTGGTTAGAAAAGCATTTTTTTTAAATGCTGTTTAAATTAGTTTCTTCATCTAATAATATGATCTTTTTTTTTTTTTAATTAACAATATATGAAAAATTTATAAAATTGAATAATCGAAATTAATTGTTTCCTTTATAATATTTAAATAATGGGTGTCAATAACTAGTTGATAATTTTTAAGTTGAATCTCATATTGACAGCCAGTCGACAGCGCTAAGACGCCTTTTTTTGACTTTAATCTAAAAAATTAACTGTAAGAGTTTGAACTCTTCTGATTAAATAAATTATTTTTAAATTAATTTTTATATTTTTAATAGTAATTAATCATTTATGGAAATTATTATTGATAAACTTTAATAATATTGATTACTTAATAATAAGTTTGGATAAATAAGAATAAGCTGATGATTCTAGGCATGCGCAGTATAGGTGTCAATAATTGGGGCTAAGGTATGTCAATAATTAGATCAATCAGTTTTTTAACCTGTCAATAATTGGTGTCTCCGGATAATCTATTTAATTATTTAAAATTAATTAGTAAATATCAGTGATTATCATTTTAAAAAAATAAATTGATTAGTAAAAACATTACTTGAGACATTATCACAAACAAAATTCAACGATATTGATATTTGATTGCTTAAAAAAAATCAAATTATAACTTTGTCTTTTATAGTGTCAATAATTCGGGCTTTTACCTTATCAAAAACTAAATTTTTTGGAGCAAGAGAACCTTTTTTTCTGTGCAAATAAAATTTTTTGTATATCTACCTTAAAGGTTGGTCCCAAAAAGAGCCAATATAGACCCTAGCAACCTCCGGAGTCTGGAGAACCTTTCCAAGGGACCACATGAGCGCTCCGTAGACTCGCATCAGCTGTTGGTGGTCAATCATGTCAGCTTTGTTCAAAACAATTCGGATTTTATCATCGTGGCCTCTTAGAGCTTCAATAGACCTCCGGAACTCATCAGAGATGTCCAGCTTGTGGGCGTCAAATAAAAGAATGATCCTGTCCACTCGCTCAGCGAACCACTCTAAGACTCCAGTGAAGTCGTAGCCTCTGTCGACTCTCTGTTTTTCTCCGGATAAAATTCCAGGAGTGTCCACGATAGAGATTCCCTTTAGCACCGGTGATGGCAAGGTTGAACACTGGAGTCGGTTTAAAAAGGCGTTCCCGAATTTTGCCAGAGGACGGAACTGTTTAGAGGGATCCACTACTAAAGCGTTCCCTGGAATCACTCCTTCCTTCTGGTCGTACATAACTGCGATAAAGCGATCTGTCGTCGGCTCGGGTCCGATTCTGATACCTGGGAAATCGCGCTCCAGGAGGTACTTTATAAAAGTTGTTTTTCCGGTAGAGTACTGCCCGACTAATAAGATCATAGGCTTCGCGTGGAAGTCGGGGTCGTCGAGCTGAGGAGAATGGAAGTCATGGAACTGGTAGTGCTGCTCCAGAGGCAGCAGTTTGGTTTTGTAGATTTGGTTTAGTCCTTGGGTTACTGAATCGAACAGGTCTTGCTTGTCGTTGCCTTCGCGGGTTAGCCAGCTGAACATTTTGGAGGATTTTTGGTAACTGAAATTAATAATTTAATTATGAAATATTGAGGTTTTAAGGTTTTTTTTTTGTTATGATATTTAAATTTATTTTTTATTAAAAAATAAACTAGATACATTTTTTGAGCTTCTAAAGAATTTTTGTAATTAAATTCTTTGCGGTAATCTATATTATTGAAAATAAGGAAAATAAAATAATTAAGAAATTACGTATCTTGTGAACTATTGACATTTTTAAAGATATAAGCTCATCTTGATGTTAGACTCATTGAGACCTTTCATTTGAGTACCCACATCAACTTTTCATATATTTTATATATTTATATATTTAGAAAATATCATATATATGAAATATATGTAAAATGCCATGTGGATACTCAAATGAAAGGTCTCGATGAATGCAATGTCGGGATGAGCTTTTTTTTTTTTTTTTTTTTTTTTTTTTTTTTTTTTTTTTTTTTT